AGAAGTTGATAGCCTTAGCTAGTAGTGTCAAACTCAGAATAAAAATGGATCCCTGTCAGCTATATATGGACTTAAAAAACCACAAATTCACATTATCTATGTTGTACTGTATTTTCATTTATTTTGTTAAACATATTCCAATTACATTTTAAGCTGGTTTGAGAGCATTAAGGAGCTTTGACTCGTTAGGCCATGACTTTGATACCTCTGAATTAGTGATTTTTAAGAACCTAATTTAAAAGATGTATTCATTATGATCTGGATAGAGAAAGAATACTAGGTTATTCATGGTATTGTCTGTTTGGGAATAAGATGTAAATCTAAGAATATCCTTTGAAGTAAAGACTAGAAAAGTTAGTACCTCTGACAGGTGTGGGCAGAAATTGGCCTGGGCAGTCATTTTCCAGGTTGGAGACAAAGGGGCAACTGGAATTCATAGATACTGCTACAGGATTCCTAGAGACCAAAACACTGAAAACCACTTGGCCTAGACAAAATTGAACTTGAAATTCCATTACTTTAATGTAGATTTAAGTCTTTTCTAAATACTTTTAACCTCGTGTTATTTCTAAGATTATGCTTTTCCCCCTTGCAAATCACAAAATTACAAAATTGGAACATGTGGGAACAGCAAGGGATCTTAAAAGATCATTTCATCCAAAAACCTCATTTTACAGAAAAGGAAACTGAGGGCCTGAGAGGGATTTACCCAAAGTTATAAATTTAGAAAGTCACAGAACCAAAACTGGAACCCAGGTGTTTTGGGTAGTTTGGCCCAAAAGCAAAGAGTGTTCTTTTTATCTACTCCCCTATAAAAACACAAGCTAGCTCAAATGTTATCAGTGGAAACTGAAAAGCTGGAAACACTTCACATTTCATGGTGGTACCAGCAGAGGTGATATACCCAAATCTCTAGAGAGCGGGTTTTGTGGCTTCTAAGCCACAAACAAAGATCTATCAGGAAAGAAGACAAGTCTTACTATGTACTAAGCACTGTGCTAAGAAATTTAGCATAAAATACTAGTGGTGTGGTTGGAATCAGATTTTAAGTTCTGTTAGACTCCCCATAACTTTAAGCTGCAAATGAGAGCTGCAAATGTTCCTACCTATCCCAACCCCCACACTGTTTACTTTGTCAGATTATACAACAGAGCCTTTGGTTTCAAAGATTTCCACTCCTTTAATCAAGTTCAATCCTAACAGGAACAGGACAATACTATGAAGAGAAAATGTTGTCAACAGGATAGACTGGTTCCAACAACCCTGTAAAACGGTAGGGAATGATGTATAATGGAAGAAGGAAACTCTTGGCTTGGAGCAACATGAGGAATTCATGTAAACATCAATGGAGCAATTTCTTGTGGTACTTTGAATTCACTCATTTCACTCCTTACGCTCCTCTCCAGAATCTTAGTGTTGATAGTAGATAATCCTTAAAGTTCCTTCCAGCTTTCAATTACATGACCCAACTCTAATTTGTATCATCATTATTTGTACATGTCTTAGTTTTCCAATTAAACTGTGAGCCCCCAAGCAAAGATTCCATAGAGTCATCTCTATAGCCACCCCAGCAGCATCCTTGCACGTGGTAGGCACTGAATAAATTGTTTGTTGACTTGAACCTAATTCAGCCCAGGGTCCCAATGAATAATTCAATGACAAGGAAAAGAACATTTTCTAACTACTGTTTTCCAATAGTGGAACAGTTACTTCTAAAAAAGAGTAAGCTCCCTGGTAAAGGAAGTGTGAACCTGTACTGAACCATACAGTGAGCTACACAAAGAAAACAAAATGACAAACATTAAAAAATGTTCTTTTTTTAAAAAAATCTCAATCACTCATGACTATAACTGCGACATACCATCCTACTTTATTACTGCACAAAATTTAAAACCTCAAGTTGCCCCGTGCATATTTATGTACTTGGACATGAACTTACATGCGGACCCAGCCTTTTCCCCACGTGGATTTTTGTTTGTGCTGAATTTTTTAAAAGTTTTTTTAAAACCACACCCTGTGCTTCTATTACATTATGACCCTCCCCATTATTTTGTTCCTTTCTTTTATTTTTTTTTTTTTGAGACAGGACACACCCCGTAAGATTGCTGACATTAACAATACTGGTCAAAAAGATTCCTGTCCTAGAATTCTTCTTACCAGTCACATAATTTCAAAACCTTGGCCTTTGTTTCAGGAGTGACTAGATAACTTATTCTTTCTCATATTAATTTTAAACACCTTGAACAACAGACAAACAACAATAGGACAGATTTCCTTAACAAAAGAAAGCAAATCAAACAGATACACTACAGGTGAGTGGCACAAGCTTTAATATGTGACAAACTTTATTCTTCAAAGATTCAAAGAAAATTAGCAACAGATATGTGTGATGATCATAAAGTCGTACCACAGACAACATGACTGAAGAATGCTTTTCACTCATACCAGGGGAAAAAATGTAAATATAATTAAAACATCAGAAGTAAACATTCAACTTCCAATCTACTTGTGTAGTTCACAGAGAACCATGTCCTGGGGGGGGGGGGGAAACAGTGGTCAGAATCCTAAGAAGGCTGAAGGTTACATTTTTCCCCCTTTGATATCTATCAAGATAACCCACAAATCTCTAAATTGCAAGCAAATCACAATTATCCTTGGAAAGAGAAAGGAATGAAGAGAAGAAATTGCGAGTCAAATTTCTGAAGAACCAGTGACCTACAGAAAAAATGAAGAATCAAAGAGTACCCTGGTTCATAGCTCTATAAATGGAAACTTTATTAAAGCTTGGTTTCTTTGTTCTACAATTAAACAGCTCTCTCTCCCACAACTTCAGCAACTCACTGCATACACATTTATGACATTGTGAGCAGTCACAATAAGGTAGGAGATTGCAAGAATTACTACAGTAGAGACTGCTACGACTAAGTCCTGGGGGGTGGGGAGAGTCTCTAAATAGATTCTTGGAATGACACCTTTTCAAATGTCAGCTCCAGAAGACAAAGCCAAAATTTATTATTACAGATGGATAACTAAGCATGTTGAATTCCTATCTTCTAATAAACTGTCTATGGATAGGTTATATCAAAATTGCAAAGGGGGCTAGTAGAAAATCATGCAACCCAAAAGTCACCCAGCCTGGAATTAACATTTCAAAAAAAAAGTAGAAACATAGCATTTCCGTACTAGGAGGATTGTTATCTCCCCACCCTCTAACACCCTCCCTTCACATAGGTAGAAATTATTTGATGCAGTTAGAACTACAGCCCAGACAGATCTGTGTAATCGCTGTGTCCCACAAGGATCCAGAGATATCCATGTGGCTACCAAGAGTATTTGGGGTTACCTGAATCTGTCATTGCATCCCTTTTACATTCGGTATTTTGCTGGGAAGAGGTTGACAAGCAGGAAGCACAATTGTGACAGAGCTTTGTTCTGCCTGCGGTGAATTACATGCAGTAAGGGTTAGAGACACTGGCAGCAGACAGAAAAAGAAATCAAAGAAAGCATCCTTTCAAGCCAGTCTGTCATGTGTGGTTCTGAGGGGGTATATTGGAGAGTGGTTGGAGTTTGAGGTAAGGAAGGAACAAGGATTTTATATTTTCTTGCTGCCACTGTTAAAAAAAAATAACCACCACCTCATATCATCTTTGCAGTTTCCCTGGCCCCCAAATTCTCCCTTTGGTGGTAGAGACTGTTTTAAGCAAGTATGGTACCCCAGACAACAACAAAAGGTGGGGGGAACAACGGTAGGATAAGAAACTACGACCCTGAGATTAATAAATACTGAAGACCTAGACCTAGCTAATCCATTCACATGTTAATAGACTAAAATCCATGCCACCCACATAGACGCACACAACAAACTAGCGCTGCATTTCCAGGCACTGTTTTCTCTCCTCTTAGCCCCTGAGATGGTCCTCCCCGTCTTCCCATCCCCATTCCTTCCAGCCACCTCTTCTTTATTTCTTCATTTGGTTTTTGGTTTTAATTTTCCCTGCTACCAGGTCTTTGGAAACACTGTACCAATGCCCCCAGGCAGGAAACAGGCAAAGCCTCCTTGGCGAACTGCAATGTTTTCCACAAGCCCTCGCTTGCTCTTTGTCCTGCTTCTTGCCCTTTCTGAAGAAACCACCTCACCCTAGTCAAGCGAGATTGGCCACATGAAAGCCCTCAAAACATCTGCCCCTTCTGCCCCTGATCTGGAGAAAGGAGATAAGGCGAAAGCTAGACCTAGGCACACAGCTGGCTAACTTCTTCTCTCTCTGTCTCTCTCTGTCTCTGTCTCTCTGTCTGTCTCTGTCTCTGTCTCTCTCTTTTTGGTTGTTTTGTTTGCCCTGGGGGAGAGGGGAAAAGAATTGAGGAATTGGTCAGGAGGGGTTGTTGCCTATCTCTCAGCCCACCAGCAGTAGCTGCACTGCCCCCTCCCCAGCCCCCCCCCCCCGCACATACTCAGATCCTCAGTTTGACCAGAGCTCCAGGGGGCATCCGAGGACTCCAGGAACAGACACAGACATCGACACTCGGCGATTTCTCCCCCTCCCCCCAACACCTCAGTCATCATGCTAAAATTCAACCTAGCCAATATTTATTAAAAACCTCAACTCCCATCAGACCACCCCATCCATCCCCTTCTGCCCTGAATGCTTCACCCGGGCAGAGAGTGTCTCTCTTCAGCCCTTTGCACTCAAATCCTCTAACCAACGGGCCAGGCAGCGGGGTCCCCAGCACCCTCAATTGAAAGAAACTCACTCTGTGTGTGTGTGTGTGTGTGTGTGTGTGTGTGTGTGCCCGTGTGTGTGTCTATTTCTCTCTCGCCAAATAAATAAAGCACATCTGCAGTAGCCAGTGAGAGCACTGCCAGCTTTTTGGACTTCTCTGGTTTTTGGAAAATCAGACACCACCCTACCTCTCCACCCACCCACTCACCCTGTACGAGTCCTGGGGGCCTAGGAAGAGAGAAAGGTGGACGGAAGCGAGAAGACAAAACGAAACTCACTGACCTTTCCTTTTAGCCTTCTTGGAGTCTGCCCTAAACAAGCAGCGGCGGCGACAGTGGCGGCAGCAGCAGCAGCAGCATCCCTAGGTTGTCCCAGTTCGTCCCGTGCCCGCCGCTCGCTTGCTGCGTTCCCTCAGTTTCGGTCTCCCTTTCCCTCGCTCTCTAACACGCACACACACACACAGTCACACACAGAGCCACAAACGTACGAGCGCGCCAGGAAAACACTGGGACTCCCCACGAACTGGCTCCCGCCGCTGAGCAGAGGAGAGCAGAGAGGCTGGCCGGGCAGCACCCGCGGGGAGGCTGGAGAAGCTGCGGGCTCAGTCCGAGCCGCCCGTTAGTCTGCCCCGCACAGGTCCGCTCCTGCAGCCCTGCGCCTCCCGGCAATGTCCTTCGACCCCCACTGCCTGCCTGGCCCCTAACAACGCCGCCGCTCCTTTCTGTCTGTGTCTGAACAAAGTGGGGCTAGATCGTTTTGTGGCACACCAGAGAGCGCACCATACACACACTCACACCCAGAGACACACAGACACACACCAAGAGCAGACCGGGCTTGCAGGAGCTCTCCTCCTCCCCGGGCACCGCCCCCCACCCTGGGCTCCGCCTCCTTCCCACTTCTTACAACCCCCTGCCCTGCAATGTCCGTGGGTCAGTCTGACTGTCCGGCTGTCCAGGAAACAGAACCTTCCAGACAGTAAAGAGATCTGACCGCGGCTAATGCTCCTCCAGCTCTCTCGTCCTTTTCCCCCCAGTGGCCCAACCTCATCCCCAGCGCTGGGGTTCCCTCCACCGCCGTCGAGCAGGAGCCCCAGATGGAACCCGGACCCGGGAGGGAGTCAGGTGTGAAGAGCAGAAAGCCAGAGCAGCTCCGCGGAGGAGGGCGGAGCCCGGGGATTTGAAGTGGAGGGGGCGGAGCCGTGGAAGAGGCCAGAGATTGGGGGGGAGGGGGGAGGGGGGAGGGGGAGAGGGGGAGGGGGGGAGGGAAAGAAGGAGGAGCTAGGCTTATCACGTTCCCAGAAACTGGCCTGGAGCCACTCTAGGTCTACACAGTTTTGGTTGCCCCAAAAATTTCTCACAGTAGGATTAGGAGAGGGGCCCTTTGTGGAGCGACAAATGCAACGAGAGATCCTGAAAGAAAGCGGATCCTTCTGTCTGTGTGAGGCACTCAGGGCCGCCAGTGTTCCATGTCAAGGGGTGCATAAACATATTTGACTTCAGGGGATGGCCAAAATATAGGGAGAAGACCTCTCCATTACTTCCCTCCCACCCCATTCCTAGGTTTGTAAATCTATCTCGCTAAAAAACAAATTCTGCCCTCTAAACAGGTGACATAGCTAGAGCGTTTTATCTCTCAAGGAAAACTTAAGAAACACATCCTCCCACCCAATTACCTGCAAAATAAACAGATCTCTCCCTTGTCAATGGAAGAGCTATTTCGATGGTCTTTGACTAGAGAGAAAAAAGAAGAAACTAGGCAGGTGCTGTTTCTCTTGATTTAGCAAGATTCCTTTACAACCACACAAATCACATCAGTAACTAACCATCCACAACCTGTCTCTATTCTGGGTTCCATTCAAACACCTAAGTCTTCAAGCCTTCCATACGCTTCTGGGGTTTGAGTTGAAGGGGCTTTTGCTGTTGTCTTAACCTAGAAAATTAGGAAACCGAAGCCTTCCATGTTTTTTCAGAATATCAGCCAGGATGCAGAAAAGAGGAAAAACAAAAACAAAACAGGCAGTGAGCAAGCTGAGTAATTATAAAAGTCTTACTAATAGTTAAATCCAAAGGCCTCAGTTCTTCCCTTCTTGCCCTGTCTGGCAAATATGGTTGATTGTGTTTCAGAAATTACATACTAACCTCATAATGGAAATCTGTATTCATGAGATACAGATAAAATCTAACCCTCATTAATCATACTTTCCCTATGTCTATGCATCCCTTGAAACCTTGTTTCTTCTTCTCTCTATTGTATCCATGCCGTACGATTGTTCTTTTATTAAATCCTTTATGTCCTTCCCTGTACCTCCAAGAAGGGAAATCCACATGTTGAAATTTTGCATGTGTCCCTAACAATAGAAGAGGTCCAAGACTGCTTAGCAGCACTCTTCCAAGAATCTGTTTGCAACTTTCAACAAGAAACAATTTCTTTAAGGAAGAAAGGATTTTCCATGAGAAAATTGGAGGCTGTGCCATGTCCAGGAACTTATAGTAGGTTAAGTTGGTTGTTAGTTTCAGTGTACATGTCTGGGAGCTACTCTAATAGTTATGAAAAGTATAAATTTTCAAGATTTTTTTGGAAACCGATTTTTATTATTGTAAGGCAAATAATTACAAGTAATTACCATTTATTACTGTTTTCCTAACATATTTAACCATTCATTCTAACATCAAATAGGCTTTTTGATGCTGGATACTTAGTTAAATTCTAATGGTCTTCTAACTTACACACCATTACATCAATTTAATAGAATTTGTCAACTGAAAATTTTCTTTCCATGAACTTCAAGTTAGAGATAAATTTCTGAAACGGAAACATTTTTCACTTCTAAATCAAATCATACCACATGCTTCATATGGAGAACACATGTCTAGAAGAGCAGCCATATTGAACTAAGAACACTAATTTGGAAATGGAGTTGACTGATTTTGCAGTATTGTTACACATGCCAAAAAATATTGTAGCATCAACAAAGTTATCATGTTGTGATGAACTGTATAAATTTGCTTTAAAAAAAACTTTGCATACATAATTAGAATTTATGGAATTTTTACTACAGAATTATCAAGTGTTTTAGAAGTCTACCTACTAAAACACACACAGAAAAACTATCTGAAAACTACATGAATATAACTACAAAACACTCTGCAGAAATAAAGATAGACCTTAATAAGTGGAAAGGTATTCATTGCTTACAATTGTGGTGAACCAATACAATAAAAATTACAACACTACCTAAATTAATTTACTTATTCAGTGCCACACTAATCAAACTATTTTACTTTCAGTTCAGTCATGTCCAACTTTTGGTGACCCAAGAGTTTCTTTCTTGGCAGAGATATTGGAGTAGTGTACCATATCCTTCTCTAGCTCGTTTTACAGATGAGGAACTGAGGCAAACAGGGTTAAGTGACTTGCCCAAGGTCACAGAGCTAGTAAGTGTCTGAGGCCAGATTTGAATTTAGGAAGATGAGTCTTCCTGATTCTAAGCCTATTGCTCCATCCACTGGGCCACCTACTTGCCCTGCTACTTTAGAGAACAAAAACAACAATAAAATGGAATCAGGAGGAATGAATGAAAGGTCAGGTTCTCAAGGGAAATAACAGAAAAAAGCAGGAAGAGGGCCTACCAATAGCAGGTCCCAAACTAAACTTATTCTACAAAGCAACCAAATCATCAAAACTATTTGATGCTTGATTAGAAAAAAGTAGAAATGTTTAAAAATGTACTATGTCAGGTACATATCATACAGAAGGACATGAATGTTTTAGCAGAGTATTGGATTAACCCAGAGACACCCATCTACTGGGATAAGGTCTTACTATCTGACCGAAAACAAAAACAAAAACAAAAACAAAAACAAAAACAAAAACAAAAACAAAAACAAAAAAAAACCATCTGAGAAACTACAAAACAGTGTGATAGAAATTTGGTTTAGATCAAGATTTCACACCATATATCATGACCTCCAAACTGATATGTAATCATGAACAAATTAGAGGCTTAAAGAAGAAAATACCTTTGATAACTATGGGTAGAAGAAGAATCAGTGACCAGACAAAGGACAGCAAGGCCCATAGAAGACAAAATGGACAATTTTGCTTATATAAATTGAAAAGGATTGTAGAAACAGAATCAATATAGTTAAAATTAAAGGAAAACAGTTCATTGTGAAGGAATTATCTTTACCAAATTTCTCTGACAAAAGTCTGATAGCCAAGATATATAAGGGACTGATTCAAATGTATAAAAACAACAGCCATTCACCCAACATATAAATGGTTAAAGGTTATGAATAAGTAGTTCTTAAAGGAAGAAACCCAAGCTTTCAGCATACATGAAAATAATTACTAATTAATTCGAGAAATGTACATTGAAACAACTTTGAGTTTCAACCTCACATCTATCAGATTGGTCAAACCGAAGGAAGGAAGGAAGGAAGGAAGGAAGGAAGGAAGGAAGGAAGGAAGGAAG